GCGCGCGTTTTTGCAAGCTAAAATTATCATAGCATTAGTATCATTATTATAGCGAATCTTTGTACTTTTCTTTATATGTTTTTCTGATGTTTTGAAGTTTTTAGCACAAATGTTTGGAAAGTGCTGTTTCATTTAAAACTGTTTTTTTTGTGAAAATCAACAAAACAAGAGTTACAAAAAAAAATATATATATATATATGTGTGAATTTTATCACGGTGATACAGATTGGTCTTTGCAAAAAAGAATCTTTTGCTCTTGCCCCTAATACAAATTTATTTACATGTATCTTTACGGTTTGTTTTGTTGATTGCCACATAAAAAACTACGATTTTAGGTGGAGTAATATGGGAGAGTAGGGTAATTGCGAACGCAAAGTAAATCCGAACGACGTAATTTCTCTGTGTTCGCACTCTCGCGACCTAATTTAACCTATACACGTGGAATAGCCAACTCTATACTTACAAGTAAACCTATCCAAAAGGTATACTTCGATTTCTTTCTAATTTCTTTCTACAAATGTAGGAGTACAAAAAACATTTAGGTCATATTTTTTCATTTTGGCCCACTTTCACGGGCAATTTATAGCTTTTTAATGTTCTCACTCTTATCATCAACAAATACAACAAAAATACATCAGAAATAAAATTGAATACAAGATATAGTTAAATAATTTTAACAAAATCGGCATAGCTGAGATACGAACTATTCCAAATTTTTTTAGCCGAGATTCCAATCGAGATATTTCAAATCTCTGCTAAATTAGTTAAAAATGGTTCGAATCTCGGCCAAAGCGAGAAATTATTTGTATAAATAATTTTTTTCAACTTTTTATATGTTTTGTTTAAACATTTTGTTATTTATACAAATAATTTTATACATTTTACTTTATATTCATAATCAACAAACCAAAGACGCCTTATATCTTGTATTCAATTTTATTTCTTATGCATTTTTGTTGCACTTGTTGATGATTGGAGTGAGAACATTAAAAAGTTATAAACTGCCCGCGAAAGTTAAAGTGGGCCAAAATGAAAAAATATGACCTAAATATTTTTTGTACTTCTACATTTGTGCCAAATTAGAAAAAAATTCGAGTGTAACTTTTGAATAGGTTTACTTGTTAGTATTGTTGTCTTGTTCGAGATGAGAGAATACACACATTCTTCAAGGTAAGTGCTATTAAAATATTTGTTGGTTTGACAAACTTGAAATTTCTTGATTTTCTTTAATATTGTGTTGAATATCGTGTTATTTAATTTCAAAAAGTGAGTTTAATGAAGATTTATTTTGTTAATTAAATTCTTACTTTATTTACTTCCATATACTTACCGTTTTCTTCCCTTTCTTTCTCTATCTCTCTGCCTTTTCTGTTGTGGTATTGATAACAAAGTCGTCAAACAGGCCGCGGTGGATTCTGCGTTTCATTAATCATTATGTAAGACGCAGCGAACTGAGTCAAGTGTGAATCGAAAAGGATTAGATTCGATGTGGCGGCAGGTGTTGCTCTGCGCGTTCGCGCGCAGACAGTACGCGAATAATATTGATGGCACGCCGTGTTGCTTTGAAACAAAAAGCGACGTCACGTACGGATTAGCTAAGAGGATTGAAAACGACGAGTGCGATCTCGCACGTGTGTCCGCGGGGATTAATACACCTATACGAAGAGAGGCGCAGAGAGAGAGAGAGAGAGAGAGAGAGAGAGAGAGAGAGAGAGAGAGAGAGCGCTATTAAATCTGATCATCGTCTTGCCACCGTTGGCGTCCGGACATGAGAGATTTACACGGTCCCACGCAGCATCAGTGATATTTAAACTACAAATGTTACAAGCGCGTCAGCATCGCGTCGTAAATGACGAGTTCTCGCATCGATCGTCGCTCAGCAAATTCTTAATCCATCATCGAATCACGCGCGCGTTATGAATTATCACGCGACGATGTAAACATTATTATTATCTCTATTATTTCGCCCGGTGCCGTATTATCGCCATTATCCCGTCATTCGCAGTCTTCGTAAAAAAATAAAAAAAAAAAAACACCGAGCGCGGTCGTAAGGAAGGCACGTCGCGAGAAAGCCGCGTACGTGATGTATAAAGCATTCTCGAAGCGCTCTCCGATTACATAAGACGTTAACCATTCAGGCAGGTGAGAGCAACATGAGAATATCTGGGGGGAGGAAGAGGGGAGGGATCGAGTAATCGTGTGCGCAAATACCTAAGGTCGTTCCTGTCATTCGTTGAAGTTGGACCCTGCGACTTCGGCAAATGACGCGCGTCGTTGTCGTTTACGTAACGAGCTGCTCGTAACGCACTTCAACGCGCTTTACCTGCGAACTCTCCAACTTACGTGCCAGGTGCTGTTGCTCAAGGCACCGGCCTGGGAACTGGTTGTCGGAACGAGTCGCGTGTAAATCGCGGTTAATCGTTACGCCCGTAAGAAGCCGACGTGTGTCTCTTGAATTAGACTTAATTCGGATTGATAGTCCAATTTGCCGCACGAGACGCGCGCGACGCCATGTGAGAGATGGTCCGCTGAGATTAAACGCTTCTATCGAGGACGACGTCTCATCAGATAGGCGTTCAGAGACAAGGAAAGAGACAGAGAGAGAGAGAGAGAGAGAGAGAGAGAGAGAGAGAGAGACTGACTTTGGCCCGAATAATTCTCGCTCACGTGCACTCACGTGTTAATCGCCTCGCGTTACCCGCAAGTCGCCGCCGAATCGATAATATTCCCTGTGTACACGCGTATCGGACATGCTTCCGCAGCTGTTTGTCGGCGGTGAGAATTTGTCTTCCTATGCTCGCCCACACGTTCCAATTAGAGCTTCCGGCATTAACGACCGACTGACCATGTTTGTTTTCGTGCCGATGAATGGGCACACTTGGCCTTGGATAATTCGTGCGAGCGTGTTCTACGATCCCGATCAGTTCTATAACCGCTTTTATATGCGCGCGCGTTATCAATTGATCAAGTTCTCGCGCCACTGGTTCGCTGGCAATCGAGGCAACGGTGACAAACGAATAAACGCGGTGGCGAAGTGATCTTAGATAAGGTCCTACTCTATTCACTGATTATCTGAAAAATAAAATGGTTCAAGTTATCAAGAATGATCGAAACGAATCGAGCTAAAAATAAAGTCAATGTCAGGGTATACGACGAACTGTCTTAATCCGTTCAGATAAATTTCGGTATGTCTCTCTCTATAATTTTAATATCTTGGTATTTTTTTATGCACAGAGAATATTATAGTTTTCCTTTTTTCATATAAATTCTTTCCTATTTGACTACGTTTTTAGTAATGCACTTGGATAAAAAGAAACATGTGATAATGTAATGATAATGGATGTTAAAATCGGATAATGTAACGACTATGATAAATAGATAATAGTGACAAGTCAAAGATTGGAAATTTAAATTGTGAAATGTACAGATTATATTGAATACAGAATTGTACAGGAATGTACTGTAATTGCTATGATTAGAACAAGAATATAGGTAGAAAGAGGTACAACATAAAATGTAGACAGATGGTTAAAATAATGTTTCTTGTAATCCAAATCCTCTTCTTGACACAACGTAGTTGAAGTAATAAATATCTATCTAAGAAATGAGAAATGAGAGGGAGAGAGAGAGAGAGAATAATAATGAGAGAATAATCGATAACTGCAAATACAATTAGATTCTCTTTGTGTATATTTTATCTCTTGTTTGTATGAAATAAGCTGGGAATTTCATTCAATGAAATGATCATTAATTACGATAACATTTCACAAAGTTCCACAAGATCCTCCACGAAGACAACGAGCGCGCGAGTTAGAAGTAGCCTTTTGTTTCGCGCGGAGAATCGATTTCAACCTCGGTTACTTAAGAATGTGTTAAGTGACGCGCGTGGAATTCCGTGTGGGCGTTAAGTGTCGTCGTGGGCTTCGCAGGTGCACAGGTGCTCGTATGCGAGCACGATGCAAACGCGAAGTGGAACCACGTGCTGACACATTAGGAGACCTTGAACTTGGCATTGAACGACCTTGCCGGGAGCGCATCCTCCTCTCGCTTTTGCAAGTATGAAACTTTTGCTTTCACTTTACGCCGGATTCCCGTTTACGTGTCCTTAATGCACGCAATGTAGGCCGAACGAAAGGAGTGCAGCGGCCGTGTTGTCGCTATGCCGTAATATCCCTCTCCTCGGTTTTCCTCACGAAAATTATATCTGATCGCGATAAACGAGATTGCGATATAGCCGAAATTTTCAGTCTACACACAATAATCCTATAACATGAAATGGCTAAGATAGATAACGCGTGGGATTGACACATAAATAGGATAACCAAGTTTTCTCAATATTTTTATCATGTCTTATCGACAGAGATTACACACAAACGCCAACCTAAATTTATTTCTTTTATTTTCGCACAGTAATCCTGTAACATCAAATGACTAAGATAGATAACGCGTGAGATTGACACATAAATAGGACGACCAAGTTTTCGCAATATTTTTATCAAGTCTTATCGATAGAGATTACACACGAACGCTAACCTAAATTTATTTCTTTGATTCTCGCTATTCTCGTTTAAATTTGTCAAACATTTGTAAGAAACGGAATCTTATATAATAAATAATATAATAAATTAATTTGATATACACACTGCAAATATATGATATATCGTGTCTCAGTGCTTTGCTTCCTCTCGACTCTTCGGTCCAGCATCCTGCTTCCGGATGCTCTGACACCCAGGACTTACTCGTGACTTTGACACTGACATTCGCATAAATGTGACGATTCGACGAGAGATGCTAATTAACGCGATGTCGATGTGAGCTCGATTAGATATTTCAAGAACCGGCGAAATGTTCGCATCAGCAGCGACGAGAAACGTCAAACATCGTAGTGATACTCGTATTTCGCGCGTCGCAAATGCCGCGACACGTTCGTCAATTTTCGGCTCGCGTCGGGATGACTCGGTGGTCGCGGAGGATAGCGCGACGCGCGAAAGTACCGCAACAATGGCCGCCGCTCGTCGTCGCCTGCCCGCGAAAATTTCGACATCACCGAAATATTCCAAACATCTCGCAACCTTCGGGCGGTCAAACTTACCTCTGTGCTAGTCGCAGTTGCTTCATTGTCTCATTCCGTCTCGAGTCGATGAACGACGTGTACACCGCGACGCGGAGCACGTGTATTGCTACGTAATACGATTCTTGCCGGTTCGTCGCAACAGTTCCGTCGATTCTCGCGATTGATTTGCGAACGGGTTCTCGGCCTCGTGCCTTTTAATACTCGTTTCTCCGATCGAATCGTCGCGAGTGTCAGTGCCATGAGGATGTGAGAACTAGGATCGGCAAGCCAGATCGGAGGAAGCAGAACGCTGAGATCTAACCAACGACACATCGTGTGTTTCTAGGTGTGTGAAATTATTTCTTTTATGGATTTCCGATTTTAACAAATATCACTAAGCGCCGGTTGTTCGAACTTAACAAATATTTGGTACAAAAAATATTTAGGTTGTTCGAACTTAACAAATATTTAGTACAAAAAATATTTAGGTTATATTTTTTCATTTTGGCTCACTTTGAGTTTTATGGGCAGTTTATAGCTTTTTAATGTTCTCACTCCTATCATCAACTAGTGCAACAAAAATGTATAAGAAATAAAATTGAATACAAAATATAGTTAAATAATTTCAACAAAATCAGCATAGCTGAGATACGAACTACTTTAAATTTCTTTAGTCGAGATTCCAACAGAAATATTTTAAATCTTTGAATATGAAGTCAAATGTGTAAAATTATTTGTATAAATAATAAAATGTTTAAACAAAACATGTAAAAAGTTGAAAAAAATTATTTATATAAATAATTTCTTGGTTTGGCCGAGATTCGAATAATTCTTGTCTAATTTAGCACAGATTTAAAATATTTCGATTGAAATCTCGGCTAAAGAAATTTAGAATGGTTCGTATCTTAGCTATGCTGATTTTTAAAATTATTTAACTATATCTTGTATTCAATTTTATTCATGCATTTTTGTTATATTTGTTGATGATAGGAGTGAGAACATTAAAAAGCTATAAACTGCTCGTGAAATTCAAAGTGGGTCAAAATAAAAAAATATGACCTAAATATTTTTGATATTTCTACATTTGTACCAAATTAGAAAGAAATCGGAGTGTACCTTTTGGATAGGGTTACTTGTTAGACAAAGGCAGATGATTTAACTATCGATTAAAAACTTCTTACTAAGAAGTTGGAACAATCAGACTTAAAGGAGATACAGAGCGTGCACGAAGAGAATATATCATAATTCTTTTTCATAGAAATTCTTTTCAATTTTATTAAGTTTTTCTAGCAATACGGAGTATCAATCATGTATCTTTTTTCGAGGAAAGAAATCAATGAGATATGATTTAGGAGACTAGTACGATTTGGCAACTTTTCCCTAAATTTTTCGCTAAGAACATAGCTAAGTTTTTGATAGTACATTTCAGTTCCTGAAATATAAACAGCTCATATGAAATGAAAGTACAATAAATTATTGCAGAATGTCGATCTATTCCGCGGTTATAAAATTCTATAGCAATTTTCGCGATAAAATTCTCTCTGCGTATACTTTATTTTTGCGATAAATTCGATAAATGACTTATCACTGAGCCTGAGAGATATTCTTAAAATCTCTCATGCGTTACGCAGGAAAGCGCTCAGAAGCCAAGTCGGCGAGCGTGATTTCCGCGACTTAATATCAATGAGCGACGTTTAATTCATAAGTCACACCGGGCCACCTGCGACAACAAGTGGTGCCAGAGGATCTCTCGGAGTGTGACGCTCACATTGTTCCGCGCGATCTTGGCACGCTAGCCATGAGATGTCGCGATACACACGCTCGAAATTCTTTCCCGCGTCTCACACAATGTCAGGCCTGTCTCCATGTGTCACGCGTGTGCTCGTCGACGCGTCGCAAAATTTCGTATAAATTTTCGGATTCGCGTGCCGCCTTCCGCAATTTCTCTCGAAGAATATTTATATACCGCGCCACGTTCGACAATCGACCCGTTTTGTAACACGCGTGAGTGTAATTGCGCGTGTAGAACGTTCGGCAGTAATCAAGGTTATCTGCGAGAGTAATTAAACGATCAACCTATTCGGCTGTTTCGTTTCCGCCGTTGGATAAGCCGGCTCGCTAGTAGCATTAACGGGAATCTCATTTCTTTTGGAGTCGGTTAAAAAAAAGACTTTCTGCCTAAACTGCAGTCACTTAGGCACTTACTTTATTACGGGAGCTATTTTTTGAATGTAAATTATTTTCGCGTGACAGCCGAGCGGATAAGAGTAGGTAAAAAAACTTGCGATTTTATATTCCGACGATACTCTGATGTGTTGGAACACATCATCGCACGATGTCAAAGCATTAGAAATGAGAGAACAAATGAAAAACAGCATGCGAATGAACGTGTGCGTTAATCGATGGAATGCGGAACGCCGTTATTAGAATCTCCTTCGCTCAGGCCGAGGCTCAGGCTCGGCAAGACGGATTCAGCCGGAAAAGGCTGTTTCGTTACCTGCGTCGGATTGCGTCACATATTGCGTACGTGCTAATATAATAGCTAGTAGGGTATTCTCGGCAGCGCGTATTCCACAATTCCCATCAAAATGCCAAAGTTGATCCATGGGAACGGAGCGTACGAATGCACACGCACTCTCTCTCACACACACTACGCGCGCGCGTACAAGGTAGACTCCTCATATCCACGTCTATTTTTACACCGTTTTTACCTTTTGCCAACTTCGAATATATTCAAATGGTACCGTCTTGGCGGCCTCTTGCCTCCGACCTCCCCGTCTCCCCCCCCCCCCCCGGGGG